ACCTTGTTGACAACCTGAGAATGCATTCAGTCATACAGAAGGTCATCCATAGGCCTAATACCTACCACCAAGAACAAGCATCTGTCTCCTGCTGCCATTAAGCTCATTTGAACCTGCTCCTGTCACTTATCGAATGTGCCATTATCACTCTATCAGGCAACAAGCTACCTTCCCGTTGAACAATAGTGCAAGGCATACTCACGCCCGGTGATCAAACAAGGGGCCGTTTTCCTCCAGTTTGACTGGCAGGCCTGATGGTGCTGATCAGGTTCGAGAAAAGGAGTCGACCACGGATCCGGGGAATGGTATGTCACCCATGTGGCTCGTATCCACTTCTAATTCCTGTGAAAGCCTTGTTGAGCTGACACAGATAGTAGATCCGGATGTGCTGGGCTAAGATCCCCGAGACAGTTGTGTAGGTTTTCTTATGTTCAGCGCATGTTGTGGCCGACATATAGGCCATCAATTCCTGGTATTCGTTCGTTCCCTCGAGTTTTTCATGTCAGTACCACTTAACGCAACTAAGTCAGCCCGATGAGTAGGTACCTTAGTAGCTCTCTACTCTCTTCTCTCTGCTCTCTGAGCCAACTTCCTCCTCGCAAGGTTTCCTGGTGGGAGTTTTCGCCCCAAACGAAACACTTCCCCTGAGAGAACAACATCTGATGTCAGCTGGGACACGGAACGATCTCCTCCCTGATGTGTCTGGACCGGTGGGCTCTGCCACATGGCTATGTTGTAGGACAATCGCTTCTGGATCGGCTGAAGCGGAAATGAAGTTGGATCGTCTCTGGGGGCGGAAGTTGAAGGTGGAAGGGAGGCTTTGCGAGAGAACTTCATCCGTCGTTCTTTTTGGCCCCTTCTCCAACTCTCTTCTCTTCCGTTGCCTCTTTGGACATTTTATCAACACGTTCACCACAATTTATTCGTTATGAGATTATTTTTCTCTGCTCACAGTGAGTCTGATACATAAATCTGTTTCTAAGCTGGGGAGTCACTAACTATTACTCAGTGTCGCGTTCATCGCAATCCGGGTTCCTCGCAGATTCTGACGCGATTTGGCCCCAACGCCATCGCGAACTAGTTTCTCCAAGCACACAAGTGCTCCAGCGACCGTGTTGTTGTGTTGCCTTTCTCAGTCAACATGCTCCAAACACTGCCACGACCCCTGCTAGCTGATCCTCCGTCAGCATAGCACTTGTGCTTGCCTGTCCCCTGGTTGTCTGGTCATTGGTTGGGCTATGCTCTCGCAGGCACCTTTTCCATGGCCAGGTTCTAGCTCTGGGCTTGCTGATACCGCAGCTTCGCGTGGGCCCTGTGACTAAATTCAAAACATTATGGACCCAAAGCCGATGGCTCTCAGGATTCAAGCCCTGGTGGGCTTGCGTATCAGTCGGAACCGGGTCCCAGGGGTATGTCATCCGTAGGCTGCGACGTATATCACCCTTGTCCGTCCTCCCCATTCTATTATAGACCTTTTTTCTGGACCTTTCTGGACCTATAGCGGTGATTCTACATGATCGCCCTGCATACCATGTCCGACTATACCTCGGGTCCCTATGCACCCATTCGCTGCAGATCTCCAATAGCCCCTCCACGCGCCCCGTTCAGCAACCCACAAGGCATAAAGTCAGTGGACAGCCTCGCCTCCTCCAGGTCTACTCTTTATTTTCTCCCAAACGACATTCTTGAGGATCACACTGAAGATAGCGCGGGTCGCACCCAACCCAAGCAATTGGAAATGCCGGCCCCAGACGTCGACGACAAACTGCTCCTCGCGGGATTGGAAACGACATGGGACTCAGCAGACAGATTGGCAGTGCCACATCTACACATACCCAAGACAAGAGCCGATGAATATGGCCCACCCAGCCCATGCTATTCATACACATCTAGCGCGAGTTCTGCGACGCGCTCGCCATCAGCGTCCGAGTGGAGGTTCAAGCCTCTACCCCCCGTTCCTGGAGTAAGTGGCAATGCGCATTCGAGAGGATCTGGTAGATCAAGTGGCGGGCAAGGCTCTCTCAGGGAGTCCCCTACGAGCTATACGCCTCAGCCGTTAGCACTCCGGCCCACGACGCCCCGTCCTATAACTCCTGTATCTTCGACATCCAGACCAACCACACCTCAACCTCATGCAGCGCCCTATGGTGCTGTTCCTCGGCCTACAACGCCACGTCCTCTGACACCAGTGTCTTCGACATCCAGACCTACAACACCTCTTCCCCCAGCAGCACCCTTCGCTGCGACATCGCGGCCTATGACACCGCCGTCTATGACTTACCGACCAGCAACCCCTCGACCTACCACCCCCAGACCGGTGACTCCTCTACCTACCATTCAGCCCTCCACGCCCCGATCTACAGCTCCCCGTCCCACCACCCCGCGACCTATAGTGGCTTTTCCAGATACAGGAGCGGCCTCGAACCTTAGGTATGAGAATGCGCCAGGGTATATCGGCTCTTCAGCGGTTGGGAAAGGGCCCAGGGATGCTCCTGAGTGGCCGCAAGTATTTGGTATCAAAGCTGAACACTTGCCCCCCGCGTCGAACAATCAGGGCTACGGTCATAATCCGAAACCCTCAAGTCCGACGGACCTGCATGTCCAGCAGAAGCAGCCAGTGAAGAAGCCGTCAAAACAGGAGCTGAAGCCAGAAAGTGACGAAAAGCCCCTGTGGCAGTCATTAAAGGCAGGCGTACGGCGGGTACTAACCCGCAAAGCCGTTTCCCACGATGGTGGAGCACTCAAGCACAGCAAAACGAAGAAGAACAAGTACCAGAATGTCCGCAGAGCATCAATCATTGTTCGCATGTCGACGATACCACCTATTCAGCGTCCACCGGAGGACAATGGTCAGAGTTTCCTTGACGGAAAGGAGGATGACGGTCATTATGAAGACGCCATCAAGCGAATGAAAAATGTCCTCGCGAGCTTGCTCGAAGATGGGTACACCATGGATATGATCCTGCAAGCAGAATCAAATCAGCAATTTCTCCGATCCCTCTTCACGCGGGTCCAGAACGAGCCACTACTTGGTGTTGACACTGCACCTTCTAACTCACCCCCACCGACTTCACACTCCTCCCTGCCCCCGGACCACACATGCGAACTCCCTCCGCAGGATTTCCATGATTCTGAGACAGTCGATCAGCCGGTTGACCAGCCGATGAGCCAGCTGTTTGACAAGCCAATTCGACGGCCTACGTTAGGTGATGACACTGAAAGCAACTGGGAATACGTTGGATATGACGAGGACGAAGCATTCACTGAAGGTGCACCCTCAGTGCGCTTCTTTACAGGTCCTGCGCCTGACCAAATATCAGAGACACGTAGTTCCGTTCCGCCATTCGCCGCAGTCATGGCCGCCTTGGACGACGACCTGCAGCGCATGGTGTCCAAACGATGGAGCCTCTCCAAGCCCGGCATGGAAGACATGGTTTTGAATATCCTCCTCCAGATCGACGACCTGGATGACCTCTTCTCCTTCGCTCAGACCAGCAGAGCCACCTACCATGTTTTCAAGCGCCACGAGCTCCCATTGATGGAAAACACTATTAGACGCAGATCCCCTGCAGCATGGGAACTGCGTCAAATAAGTGAGATCAATGAAAACACAGATTCGCAGGATCTATCCCCTGCAACGATCTACTACCGTGCAGTGACTCGCGATCTCCGCGCTCTCGCCACTCTCAAGGGCCTGATGATGACTCACTGCAGGGGAGTCATGCGCACCAGCTCATACACTGCGCTTGCCCGTCCATCCGGTCCAGACGCCCGCCGGCTAGACAACGCCATCTGGCGCGTCTGGACCTTCTGCTACCTCTTTGGAATGCAGACGGGCAGAGAAACAGACATGGATGGACAAGTCAGCTGGCTGCGTGGGGAAACTGGATCCCCGTTCCAGCCGTGTCCCGACCCCAAGGACGTAGCCAGCATCCTGTTCGACCCTCCGCCGGGATTCGGGGAGGGCAATCCCGGAGGCCTCTCGGTGAGCGATATGCAAGACATGGACGAGGTATGGACGTGTCTGAAGTACATGCTGGGATTCCTGCGCGGTGAGACCGAGCGGGCACGCCGGTTCGGCGTGTTCCAGAATGCCGGTATTTCTCAGGAGCGCAACCAGGGCATGATTGTGCTGCATGAATGGATCAATTACCTGTTGTCGTTGGGGCCGGAAGCCGTGGTGGAGCTGGCACCGTTGGGACCAGACACTCATGCGGAAACTACGTTCCAGCGAGCCATGTCGCGGGGGTGGACAACGTGGTCGGCTCCCCAGCCGGGGTCGACGCGAAGTGCGTTCCTGACGGATGCGCTGGGGCGGGTGTCGGGAGGGTTGCGACGGTTGGAGGAGTTGCAGATGACGCTGTGGTATAGTTATGTGTGAGCTACTACTACTATAGATTGTTAATGAGTGATGACACATACTTGTTTCAATTATATTACACGTAGCTTATTCTCGATCCTACTAGTAATAGTATGGTCTTGACCATTTGGAGCTGACATGAGGCGATTATACAAAAACACTACCAAGATATATAGTAGCCGCTTTCCCTATTTACCCAGCACCAGACAATCAACTACGGTATTATCGATAACCATGGAAACTAATTGGATAGTAAATATGTCCACCAATTACATAAACTAATTACAACCCAAAGAATTATCCCGCAGTCATCCAATGGACACCCCACCACTTTAGTATGATACACGCGGGAGTGACGGGACTCCCCATTCAACACACTCAAAAGTATTTACCCCAGAATCGCACACCCCCAATGCTATGCTACTATGTAAAAGGTATACGATCGTCACCGCTGACATCAATCTGACCATGACACCATCCATCCATCAACCCTGCTAAAGATAGTAGTAGCAAGTAGTAGTGGTAGTACTACCACCTCCTGACGTCACTTCTACGCCATCCTCCTACTATATCATATAAACAACCCCAACTCCTACACTCCAACCCTTCCCCCTTACAATCCATCCTACAATTGACTACACTCACCAAACCTCCTCCAACCAAGTAATATCCACAACCGACGAAACGAAGAAAAATAATCGAAAATGTCCACCACAATCCCCACCACCAGCGGCACGCAGCCCCTGGACCCCTACAAAGCCAAATCCCTAGACGAGGACATCCCACTCTCTCAAAAGATCACCGACCTGTCCACCTTCATCACAGAACAGAAATTCGGCATGTTGACGACAAAGTCCTCGGACGATGATCTGCTCACGAGTCGGTGTATGGCTCTTGCTGGGAAGGTATCATCCCCTTCTTACTATCCAGAGAATAATAACGATGGAATATATAACTAATGTAGATGAAATAAATAATAGGAAAAAGGCGACACGACCCTAATCTTCCACACGAACCTCTTCAGCCACAAAACCATGGACCTAACCGCCCACCCCACCGAGACCAACATGTCCTTCCTCGACCCCATCAGCGGGTCCTGGGCATCGATTTCCGGCACGGCGAGTATCGTGGCGGATAAGGAGACCGTCAAGAAGTATTATTCGCCGGCGTTGCAGGCGTGGCTGGGTGATTTGGGCGATGGAGTGCATGATGGTGGGCCGGAGGATCCGCGGATCGGGGTGATTAAGCTGGAGGCGAAGACGGCAGTGTATGCGGTGTCGAGGAAGGGGGTTATTGGACGGGCTGTGGAGACGGTGAGGAGTGTGGCTAGGGGGGATGTGCCGGCTGTTAATAGTATTAGGGAGGTGGGGAGGGCTGAGTTTGATGAGTGTAAGTTTTCCTTTTTCTTTTTTTCTTTACTTTCAGGGGTGGTTGCTGATGAGTTGGGTTATAGGGAGACGGACGCATCCTGAGTAAGTCTGTGGGGATGGTTGATATGGGGCTATGAGATATGATTAGTATTATGTCAGTGGTAGGACTGCAAGATATTCAATGAATTATGTGCTAGCTTCAAGCTGCAAGTAGACATGTCCAGTCAAGTAAGACTAGTCGACAAGAGAACGAGTATGGAAACAGCACCAGGCTGAACTAACAAGTTCAATCAAGTAGACCGGTCGAACGAGACGAAGGTAAACAACTAGTGTTACAAGATGTTCGTACAAGATGTTCAATCAAGTAACATCCGACACAAAGAGAAACAAAAGAAACATCCCATCCGTTAACATGATTCCCGAAGCTCCAAAAGATCAATCCAGACCAGTCAAATTCCGAAGACCAGTCCATCAACCTGATTATCCAGAGAACCAACCAAGTTCAACCAAGAGCACCGAAAAATAAAGAATCATGTTATCGTAACTCCAAGGGTATCATGAAATTGTGGCCCACGCCATCGCTAACGCCAATAGTTCCTCAAATCTGTCATAGTGAGCATCTACCACCATATCCGATATCAGGTATGGACCTACCAATCGCAATGGCATCTTAGCCGGCAGGCGTCCATTGTGCAGCAGCATGGCAATGTTCTTATTAGGAGTCGCCTGCAGCTTCCGATACGCTTCGCGAATATGTCTGGTCTCAACTGGGGTACGACCCTCCTCAGGGGGATCGAACAATCCAGTCTCGCGCGTACGCTTCTTACTGCTCTCGCCGTTCTCACCACCTCCACGACGGTTCTTCTCGCGGTCTTCCCGCTCCTTGACCTTGAGTGCTTCCTCGGTCAGAGTCTGCACAATTTCAAAAGTCAAGAAACCGAGGATATCAACGATATCGTCGTTTGGCTTGGACTCGGTCACAATGCCGAAGCCGGCCCACTCGCGGAACCGTTTACTTTTGCGGTAGGTGAACGAAGCCTGGCGACATTCTGACCAGAACACATACTCTTCCTTGGTCATGTTCTTAGTACGTTCGTCGGCCGCGGCGAGGCGCTGGAGCGTAGCGTAGTTCTGCTCCTCCTCTTCCTCATCTTCTTCGTCCTCGCGTTCGGGAACCTGCACCGAGTAGAAGCTGTTCACGTCCCAGGCAAGACCAACGCGAGCACGCTTATTCTTGGGCTTTGACGCAACATCCTGCGGTCCTGCGACGACTCCGCCGGCGATGGGGTCATCAGCTCCTGCGAAGTCTGCAGCATCAGAGCCGCCTTTGTCGTCAGAGTCCTTGACGTTCTTGCGGACATCTTTCCAGGACAGGAACGTCTTGAGACGCGACACCTTGGCCTTGTCATGGCGAATGAGAAAGATCAAATCATCGGTAGAGATAGACCGCACGCCGCGACGAGTCGCTAGGGCGGTGCTTCGTGCGAGCTGCAGGAGTTAGTGTAGTTCGCAACATAGTAGGGGAAAGAGCATACAATTTCGACAACTTGCTGGCGCACAATGTCCTCAATGAGAGTCGTGGTTTCGACGGACGGTTCGGCAGTCTCACCAGAGACGAACATCATCTTACGAGCGAAATTGATTAGCATTTCCTTAAATTCCTCCCTGGTCTCTGCATCCATCCCCATGTACATGTCCAACGGTTCGTCGCGCGGCTGCTGCTGGACAGTTGGGACTGCTGGAACTGCCGGGACAAATGGCACCGGCGGTGCAATCGTCATTTGGCCATCTTCCAGATGGTCCCATCCATGCCACGAAATCGTAGCATCAGAATCATAGGGATCCGCAGACATGATTGGAGATAGTGCCTTCAACAACAAGCAGACTCGCAATATCCGAGTAGACCCCAGTCAAGCGAGTTGGCAAGAAGTAGAAGAACACTTCCAGTCAGAAGATCCTTTATAATCCTTTTTTTTTTTTTTTTTTTTTTGCAAAGGAGCAAAGCGCCATTGCATGCTAGAATTCACCATTCCCATGCATTACCGCTGCTTCAATGAAGCTCCGTAGATCACATCGATAAAGCGGAGCATCACTTATCATAGCAGCGACAAATAGAGCCAGCATGATACCACAAACAGACTAGACTCACGCAGCCGCACCCAAAAGAGAAAGAGAAACAGATCACAGATTCTCACAGCACCAAACCGGATAGGAAATCAGAACAAATGCCTACCTGCTGGATCTCCTGCCGATACTTGGGGGTACGATCAGTCGACATGATGCAGGTTATAGGAACACTGATCGAGCATGCTCCACTGCAAATACTCTGACAAGGGGAGTCCGAATCTCTATCTGCTCAGGATCAAGATGGGACAGATATTGACAATGTGGCATCCATTCGAAGCAGCGAAGTATGAAAGAAGGAAACAGTGCCTGGATGCTGGTTGGTGCACGTGAATCTCACACCCTCAGGTGACTTGGACTGGTTACAGTGCATAGCCGGATCATCACATGATCCGATGTCCGGCTGCCCTCCGCCGCATTTGGTGGGGGAATATCGAAAGTTTCCCGGCTGGTGGGATTATTCACGAACAACTTACAATTCCAATTATTTGTGGTATTTGAAATTGTATATTCACCATGCTCTACCTGGTAGGACTTGGTCTGGCTGACGAGACCGATATTACGGTCCGCGGTCTGGAGATCGTTAAGAAGGCCGAGCGTGTCTATCTGGAGGCATACACGGCCATTTTGCTCGTCGATAAGGAGAAACTAGTGAGTGTCGCCTGACGGAGTACTACAAGATATGTGTTCTATGGTGTGGAGTTGACTAACTGGAATAAATCGGTTTAGTAGGAAGCTTTCTATGGACGTCCTGTTATCGAGGCCGACCGCGAAAAGGTCGAGAGTGGCAGCGATGAGATTCTCGCCGACGCCGACAAGGTCGATGTTGCTTTCCTCGTCGTTGGTGATCCCTTTGGGTATGTATTGTCTTCACTAATTCTCTGGCGCGACATTGGCATGGTGTCTGACTTCCATCAGCGCCACCACACACACAGATCTAGTCCTCCGCGCCCGCGAACTGGGCATCGAATCCAAGGTCATCCCCAACGCTTCCATCATGTCCGGTATCGGCTGCACGGGTCTGCAGCTGTACAACTTCGGTCAGACCGTCAGCATGGTCTTCTTCACTGAGAACTGGAAGCCTTCATCCTACTACGATCGGGTCAAGGAGAACGTTCAGTTGGGTCTGCACACATTGGTTCTGTTGGACATCAAGGTCAAGGAGCCGTCGCTGGAGAACATGGCTCGGGGCCGTTTGGTCTACGAGCCCCCTCGCTATATGACCGTTGCGCAGTGTGCAGGTCAGATGTTGGAGACTGAGGAGGAGCGTCAGGAAGGCGTCTGGGGACCGGACAGTCTTGCTGTCGGCGCGGCGCGTGTGGGTGCCGCGGACCAGAAGCTGGTTGCTGGTACCCTAAAGGAACTGGCCGAGGTCGAGATGGGCCGGCCTCTGCACAGCTTGGTGTTGATCGGAAAGAGAGCGCACGACCTGGAGAAGGACTACATCCGGGAGTTCGCTGTCGACAAGGCCACCTTCGACGCTAGCTGGCAGAAGGGCGGATACGGTACTATGTAAAGACCGTCGCTGATGAGGAACGAAACCAAAATAGATAGATATTCATCACGCCAAAACTGAACACTGCTAATGAAATCACATGCACGAACCCAAACACCCAAACCCGCTTTCTGGTGGAAACAAAATGCTAGCAACTAGCCACGCACACGTCATAAGCCGTAGAGAGGATTGCGAGATAGCCATAGCCGTAGCCATTAAGCTGTTCGCCTAGCAAACAATCGAGTCAACCGTTCGGGGAATCGCATCTATACAATCGCAATCACTGTTAGCAAAAGATTCAAAATAAATTAACCAAAAGAAAACCCACCGTAGCAGAAGAAGGCGTCTCCGGCGGTGTCTGCGTCTGATCACTCTCATACTCTCCACCATCGGCATAGCTCCCCTCCTCATCATACCCATCATCGAAACTATCCCCATCTTCCTCCTCATCGTGAGGGAACCACCTCTCCGGATCGCCGTTATACACAATCCACCAGCCAATGCGCTCTCCCGCCGCATACTTATCCCGAAACTCCGTCAGGGCCTCCATGGCGTCCTTCTCCAACGGCTCCTCCTTAAATATGTCCTCTGGCTTCCAGCTCGTCTCGGGAGTAGGACCGACATCCTCGGGGATGGAGATGACTTTCCCACCGACGTAGGCGTAGGGCTTGCTAACTGCGTCGTCGCTTGTGTCTTCGGGGTCGTATTGCTCGATGAAACGGAGGTTAGGTAGGCGGGAGACGATGCTGGGTTCGGTCTTTTTGAGCGATTCCATGACCAGTTCGCTGGTTAGGGGTTGTTGGAGGTATTCGGCTGTTGCGTCTTCCAGGTTGTGGAGAACAATGTATACGCGGATGCCGGTAAAGCCGGCGCGCGGCCAGCGAAAGCCGTAGAGCATGTAGACGGGCATTTTATTTATTTTAATCTGCCGTCTGCAGAGATTTGTTGGATGGTAGTAGGTGGTAGTGGTGAGGAAGGGGGTGTGTGGGGGGGGGAGGGAAATGAGGAGAGTGGGTGAAGTAAGGGAGGAGGTGCTGTTTTATGAATGAGGTGATCGGTAGTATTGTGGGGAGGAGGAGTAGTTCATATTAAGATCGGGATCTCGGCGAGGTGAGGAGAGAAGTGGAGAGAAGGATGATGAAAGAAAGAGAGAGAGACAGAGAAAAGATCATGAGAGTCTAGGGGTTGCGCATTGCGGATTCGGATTGGGGGAAATAGTTGGTTGCACAGCGCGGGATGGGATAGATAATATGCAGGGGAAAGAATGAAAGAGAAAAAGGCGAAAAGAGCAGAAAAAGGCAGATGATATATGCAGGGTCTCTCCGTGAGGCCGGATTCGAATGTTGGATTCTTTGTTTGTTTCCTTGGTTTACCACCTATCTAGAGAGGACTAATGATTTAAAGGTTGGGCTGGATTAGAAGGAGAGAAGAACTGTAGAAGAGACTATTGAATTCCAGAGATCCCAGCGAGCAGTCGGTGAAAACAATGGAAAATCAATCTCATTATGCTGGTTGTCTGCAGATTCGATCTGGAAAGCTTAAAGTCAATCGGTGACCCAACGGTCAAAGCGGTCAGCACCGGCAGTATGGAGTCTCGACTCGCATTGTCCGCCGGAGACACCGCGGAGAACAAGTGACGCCCCCGTTGCACTTCTGGCTTTGCTGATTTACCCCCCTCATTGGTCTCCTCCCTTGCAATAACCACTAACGGGATGGTACTCTCATTTATTCTGGTGCAAAATCGCCAGTAAGTCATACCCCGCGTCCCCCCGGGATGCCCCATCTCCATGCATGAAATACACCCCCTAACGCAGGAACAGGGGGAAGACGCGGCTCGCGAAATGGTATGCGCCGTATAGCGTAAGTGCATCCCTACTTGGACAGATTCGGATGTCATCTAACACTCTTAATTTATGATAGGATGAAGAAAAGGTCAAGCTAAAGGGCGAGGTTCGTTATATGCCCCTCCCGACAACTACTACCACCACCACCACTACTACTACACCCCGCCGCGGAACGATGTAATAATGTATGCTGGATAGGTCCATCGCCTGGTCGCCCCGCGAGACCAGAAATACCAGTCCAATTTCGTCGAGTTCAAGAGGAGTACCAAGGTCGTCTACCGGAGATATGCGGGGTTATTCTTCTGCGCCTGCGTCGATGCAACCGACAACGAATTGGCCTACCTCGAGGCGATCCATTTCTTCGTCGAGGTGTTGGATCAGTTCTTTGGGAACGTCTGTGAGTTGGACTTGGTGTTCAACTTCTACAAGGTAAGTGAGCTATAGGGTGGTGGAGGGAGTCACTGGGATTGTCCGGGAACCGGAAGAGAGTAGCAGACGGATGGGCTGATGGTTGTACAGGTATACGCTATTCTGGACGAGGTGTTCCTTGCAGGTGAAATTGAAGAAACAAGCAAGCAAGTCGTATTGACAAGGTTGGAACACTTGGATAAGCTGGAATGAGGGAGATAATATTGGGGGTATAGCAAGAAGGGAGAAGTATAAAGATCGCTTCATGGCGATACAATTGCATATATGACCACGGGACACGGTCAAGAGGAGTTAGGGGTTCATTAGGCTGATATCAAGTCTGGGCGTGTTTCTTTATATATCATTATTGCATGCGATTGTTTCCAATGTTGTATCTGGTTGGCGACTGTTAATACCCTTTCTGGATTACCTGCATCCTACTGTCCAATCGAGTAGATTCCATTCAAATTAAGCGCCATGCGATGCTTGTAATGGGTGCACTTATAGCCGTTCTCAGGGCCACTTTCAGGGTCTGCCAGGGGTTCACAGGGACCAAGTGTGTCCGCTATTTTTTACACTCACACGGGGTATGGCTGCTGCCTGACCTCCAACAGCCGACTTTCACTGCCGCGATGCTTGACAGCGGATCACCCGAGACATCTCACAACTGAGACCGGACCACTCAACGCAGCCAGCACGCAACGGCCGCGCCATCAAAATAATTTAAGCTTATCTGTCGATGACAGGGCTAATAGGACTCCGTAGTTCGTCTCCATTCCAGAAATGTGGTTAATTGTGGGTGCTCTCAACTGGGGGAGGGTTGCCTCCTGCCTGGGTCGACATGCCCCGAGGAAATGAGGTGATTGCGGGCGGCGATTGCGAGCCTGCCAACGACGATGGTGACAGCAGCTCTTGGCAATTCATACATAAGGGGCCTCTCACCCTGATCACACCTTTTCTTTTGATGGATTCGCTTTGCTTGATGCACGACTGCGCCGTTACCCTGCACGCTTATGTTGGTCATCGCATCCGGCTTACCTGAATGGCCTGAGGACACCATTTTCGACAACCCTCTCACTCCGGAGGCACACCTCCTTGTTGGCTCTAATGGTCCGACAAGCACTGGCCTTGGATCGGTGAACTGTGACGGAGATTGATTGACGGGCACCGGCACTTGGGAACTACCTACCGTCTCAATCCCGTTACACCGTCCGTACGCAGGGAGAGAATTACCGCTGTATCACCTCTGTCTCGGCTTCATGAACTGTTCAACAACGTCCAAGCTGGCCTGTCTTGCTGATAATGCCGCACCGGCTCATGCTCCGTAGCAGAAACCGGAAGGAGAGGGCAGATCCTCATCAGACTACGCAGAATTCACCCACCACTCGTGTTGCGATCAACCAACGTGGAGATAAACCGCCGTGACAAGTTGATAACGTTACCTAACGCATCACCATTTTAGTCGAGCGCATGCAGTTCGACGGAGATTTGGGGATTGGAATCCCATGGGTCCACCACCCCACGTCGGATGGCTCGCCAGTGATAGCGGTCCTTGATATGGGCAGGTTGATGGGGCTTACGACGATTCATCTAACGACTGGTCGTCTGATTGATTGATAGGGGACGGGATCCATGCCCACTTTGCCCAGATGATTATCAGTCGAGCTTTTGGCCTATCACTCCGCCAATTTCCAACTTACTTCCAATTTTGTCCCTAGATGCGCGGTTTTTGAGAAAGAAAAGGGGGAGGCAGGAAATGAGGGAACAGGGAATTTCCAAGAAACCTTAGGAAATAACTCTCGTTGAACCGGTCTTCTCGCCTTCACGACCGCATAGGCCTTTGAGACTCTTCTGGCTTGCGGAGAGGGCGGCACTAGTCAATTCCACTTTCACGGGGCAGTCGGACTAGTTGACCGTAGCACCAGCTTGGACTGGATCGGGTAAGGCGAGTTCCAATTTTCTAGGCTCGGCCGTAACAACCAAGACGAGGCAAGTCGGAAGTGCGTGGGTATTGTCTGATTATGCGTGTTCATAACATGTGGAGACTGGTTTCGCGGACGGATCATCTTGAGTTTGCCTCTTTGGTTCGGAAACGACTATTGCAGTAAAGTTGACGCCGTCCTCTTGCTGAGCCACCACCACACGTCACGTCGCAGGTGCTTGCGAGGTAGACAGACATCTGAAGTGGCCAAATTGGCAGCTGAGCAAGCGTCAGCAAAGAGGTCTATGTCACTTTGTCAGGTCTATTTGCGTCGCATGATACACTGACCAAATGCACCTGTTCTCATGGGCAAGTCGGGGAAATTATTCGCTCGAATATCTCCTGACGGTTAACCTTAGACAGCCCGTGCCTCGGGATATTGTGGATACACAGCCTATACGGGCAACATATAATCCACTGTCAAGAGTTGATCACATCCAAGGGTGGCGTTCCACGAGGAATCACACTATTGTATCTTTAATCTGGCCAGTTCGAGTCTAGAAATGCTTGCCCTGAAGGTTATTACCATGCACCGTTGCAATTGGCGCAGAGGGATAGAATCGATGAGGCTTGGACAAGTTACGCGGACGACGACGTGGAAGTGTACTGCCGCCACCAGATGGAGACAACCGTTCAAGCTCCAAGTCGTTCCACAGTGGAACAAAGGCACGGGTCGGTGTCAGGGAATCCGCACGGCAAGTTTGTGGACACTGAACAGCACCGGAGTGGATTGGTGTCAGGCTTTGGACTCGCAAGTCAAGCTCTAAGCAGACGCTTAGATTGCCTACCTGGGATACTCGAAACATGATATCTGGCAAGAGCTTCCTCTTTCGTGTGTTGTACACCGTATAGGACATTGATAGTTCGTAGAAAAGTTGTCGATCTTTCTCTAGATCCACAGTGAGATAGGACAAGTTCCAACACCGCTCTAAGCTCTCTTTTTCTGTAGTGGGATCAGGGCCATGTCCAACGCACTTAATTGCAATGTCCTGATTGTGACGGCTCATTTGCACGCACGCTTTACGGAGGCTTCCCGGAGAAGCTTGCTTTCATTGTCGCCGCAGATGTGGGGCTTCAATAGATGGATTCAGATTCGAGAGCCATATACTTTGCAGCTTGTGAGGACACAGATCCAGTTCGTTGCGGGCTGCTTCGAACGACCTGGACAGGCAGTAATCCACGCAGTCAGGAGTCATAGCGCCATGGTTATTGTTAGAGCGAGCCAAGCGGTCTTCCACCGTCCGTCTGGCAATGGATCTGTATACCAACCACTGGAGGAAAGAAGAGTCGTCAAGATTAGATGCTCATGGTGTTTACCAGGATGAGAGACTAGCCGGATTGGGATAGCAGCACGGGAAGGAGTGAAATGGAGAGAACTAATGAACTAATGCCACTCTCAGCCATGCTAATCACACACTACCTTTGTTACCCCATGCCGGCTTACAGAACAAGGAATCCATGGGTGAACATTCCATGTCCGAAGTATACACATCGACAAGACGACTCTGCAGGTCATACAGATCTCAAAGCAGAATGGGTGTGGTGGTAAACACCGCAGCTCAGCATAGTTTGCAGAGATTTCCACCCTTACACCGCACAGGTAGGAATGCAGGGGCATACTCAGTATGATACGTAACAGAACAGACCCTGGAGTATGGTGGAGATGGAAGGAGAGGATACGTTTCAGGCCTTTTCTTTGCTTCGCATTTCGTAACTCGTACCATGTATGTATCCCTGAGCGGAGACCATGCTGGAAATTGACACGCACGGCTCTTTTTCTTTCCATCTTCATTTGTTCGAAGTAGAAAGGTTTCTACCATTATTTTCCCCTTTTTATTTTTACTTGCTGGGATGGCGTGGGTGGCTTAACATTAGCCCGGGCGGGGAGTGGCACTATCCAGCAACAGACGGAGAAATGTACGCGTCGTCAACTGTGGCTTCAACCAATGAGTGCGAGTCCGGGCACGGTTCGACAGCTGAGCCTATGAGGACAAGATCCAATCCAGAGAATCCAGAAGCTCAACGATCGACCGGCGAAACGCAGGCCTACGCGGCCGATCCCTGGGATGCAGCGACAGCCGGGCTTGGCATGTTTCCATCTTTCTCTTCTTCCCCTTCCCCTTCTGCTTCTTGCTTTTTGCTGGGAGCCCCGCCGCGCACCGCTGCTGGGTCTCCCGGAAGTCGAATTGATTCATGATTGATTCCCTGAATCCCCTCTCGCCTCCTGCTCGCTTGTGACTGGCCCAGCACCTCGGGTTCCCCCTTGGCGAGATTCGTGGAAATTCATCTGCTTCCTCATGTTGAGTGGAGGAGAACCAAATCCACCCCCTGACTATCCTTCTGGCTTTTTTGGGTGAACGTCAGCCGGTGACGTCTATTTTTCTGTCGGATAATCCAAGGTTTCTTTTTTTGGGGGGAGAAGGAGGGGAGGGAGGGATGGATGGGTTTCCCTTCGGTTATACTTTGTACCCCAGGAGTACTACCCTACTCTATTATTGGCCCTACATTACTATCGACAAGGTGGTTTATCAATGTCACTTCCATCCTTGTGAGGAATGTGTGCAGAACGTGGGTTGAGCAACCGGCGGGTCTCCGCCGGGGAAAGGAAGGGATGGAGGGGATGGAAATGAAATATTGATTGCAATGAGGGAACAAGAATCACTCGATTCAAGGGGAGAAAAAAAAAAAAAAAAAAAAAAAACATAATAATTTTGACAACAGAATAGTATATTGAAGAAAGGAAATAAACGCACGCCGTTTCAGAAGTATTCATGTATCCAATGGTCCAGAGAAGTGGATGAGATCCAAACGACCGGCCAGACCAATCCAAGGTTTCCGTCGCGGATTTCCCCAGAAGACAGGAAAGTTGCCACATTCAGTCTGGCCGTCATTTACTATTATTCAAAATATTCAAAATCCAGAAATTGCAAATAATTTAATTTACTCTTTCGGCGCAGAGGCGCCAAGGTGCTTTTCCTAGTCTGATCTTATTATTACCCTCCCACCATCGAGACTAGCCTTTCTGGGTCCTTCTGGGTTATCTACGACTCCATCACCTTGATTGTTCTTGATCTACTCCCGGGCTCCTTTTAATCTCTGCAACGCCTGCTTTGGAATCCACTTCTTTCTTTCTTCTCTTCCATTCTTTTCTCTTGTCTCTATCCTTGCCTGTCTGTCTGTCTTCCTCGGGTTGGATTCAGTTCGTCTTCTGTCCTTAGACCTGTTCCTTCCTTTGCGACCAGCGGTCCCTTGCAGAGTAACACCTTCATTACTACTACACTACACCCCCAGCGAGCCCCCGGGTAGTACATCCAGTTCGCGTTACTATACTACTTCAAACCACACATCTATCTCCGCCGATAATCCATCATGTCTTTGATTCACGCCGACAACCTGGCTCCCCAGCCAATCACTGATATCTTCACCGATGACACCTGCATCGACCGCCGCAAGTGCCACCGCACCGTGCCCATGAAGGTGCTGGCTCTGGGTGTGGGAAGAACCGGAACTGCTTGTAGGTGCTACTTTGGAGGCAGGCGACGGATTGCATGACTGACTGGCTCTGTGAACAGCCCTCCGCATTGCCCTCGAACGTCTGGGCTACGTCAAGACCTACCACATGATGTCCGCCAGTATGGAGAACCCTCCCGACTGCCTGATGTGGCACGATGCTCTCGCTGCCAAGTACGACGGTGTCGGCGAGTTCGGTAGAAAGGAATGGGATCAGCTTCTGGGAGACTGCCAGGTAGGTTGCTACTATAGATCACTCGCAACGAACTCGCACGCTGACTCTTTCAAAGGCAGTCTGTGACTGGCCTGCCTGTGCCTTTGCTAAGGAGCTGATCGAGGCCTACCCCAACGCCAAGGTCATTCTGACCACCCGTGATGTTGAGTCGTGGCATGCGTATGTTATACTCCTTCGTTTTGCGGTCCTGAACATAGTCTAATTGATTCCCTATAGTTCCGTCATGAAGACCGTTTGGTGGCGTGTCTCCGACCCCGAGCACAAGTTCGTTTCGAACTTCAGCTGGGCCGCTAGCATGTACTACCCCATGCTCAACAAGTTCTTCCAGACCTTCTTCCGCGGCGACTTCCCCAACAAGGGCAAGCAGGTCTACCTTGACCACGTTGAGGAGGTCCGCAGCCTGGTTCCTCCCGAGAGGCTCCTCGAGTACAAGATCGGCGAGGGCTGGGGCCCGCTTTGCGAGTTCCTGGGTGAGGAGGTCCCCGACACTCCTTTCCCCCGCGGTAACGACATGGCCGACTTCTTCAAGCGCTGCCGCGGCCGCAACAGGCGCCAGATGCTGAACGCCGCTCTGCAGGCTGTCACCATGGGTGGTGCTCTGCTGGCGACCGGCTTGGTTGCTACCATGGCCTTCAAGCGTTTCTCTCGGTAGATGCGCTTGCTTGCTGCCTGGTTCTTTGAATTTCCTTCGCTTTTTCCCTTTGCAGCATGCGCTGGGCGCCAATGCTGCGGGTCTTTGCTTTATTTTCCCTAATTATTCCCAAAACTGCTTTTCTCATGTTGATATATACCGATGAGCGTACCACCTTCTCAGGGGTATTTGTTGCTAATACTGTGCACTGATGTTCTGCTATTTCCTTGGCTCTTGGCTGGGTTTCTCGCTCTATGGCTTACAGTGGGGGGGGATTTTCTTGGCTATGTTGGTTAGACTTATTGCGCAGGGACCGGTCTTGGATTCTTGTTGCCTGGCGTGGATGGAGTCGACGAGAGATGAATATAGATTATTTAGCCTATGAGCATGGTTGCTTCCGTATGGTGTATTCTTGGCCGGGGGTTTGTAATGTGTAAGTAATCTGTAGGCGAGCCTCGGCATGCGGTCCAACCACCCTTCCCCCTCGTCCTCGCACGGTGGAAGGCGCCGAGCATCCGTCTTGGCCTGCATAGGGAGTTGTCGCGCGCCCTACAAGGCCATGGCGGTCGCTGACATGGGCTGTGCGACTTCAACCCGTTGTGCTTGGCACGTCCTCGGCGGGCTCGGTTCCCAGCCCAATCCAATCCTTGTCATACTCATCACACAGCCTTGTATGTATGCGAGCTGAGCCTGGCGGTAAGCAGAGCGTTCATAATGCTCATTGATCAGATACTAACTCCGCTCGGTACTTCGGGCTTGCTTACAGCAGATCTATCGACCAAGATGCATGCATAGGGCGCCCGCCCAGCGCATGACGGGAATTAAACCAGCCATACCAATGAGCAGTACGCAGTAGATACTCACTGCCAGTTGGCAACAACAAAGTACAACATACAATCAATCCTAATGCGCAATGTCAAGCAGCACATGGAGCATAAACCAATAAGCCTAGCATAAATCACTCAAATAGATTCCGACTACTTCCAATCAGCAAGTTGGTTGGTCGGTTGGTCAGCGAATTATGCACGCCATGACTCTCAAAAATGAGCGGCTCCTATACCCGCCGCCTCCGCCGCCTAAACTTGAAGCTGTGCTGCGACGAAAGGGGTGCTGGTGTGGTGTGGCGGCGCCTATTAATAGAGTTCCGCTGATACAGCCAAGGATTCGGAGATGAGAGTGCAGCGCTTACGTTCCAAGGCCAGTGTGCGTGTGTGTGCGTATGAACCTGTCTAAAATTATATACGTATAGTGTTTAGTTGTGTTGTGTTGTGCTGTGATGCATCCAATGCAGCATAAGGAAAGTACATTACATGTTCTGCAAGCGCCAGGATTTAAATGTCTGTGACCCGTGATCCGGTGTCGTATTCGTTTAGTATTTTTGTTTCGTTTCTGTCTCTTTTGTTTTGGACTACTGGATTGCTGCCAAGCCATTCAGGCACTGTTTATTGTTGGGGTTGTCTCCATTGTTCATTTCGCTTCCCTTTTTCACGTAGATGACTAAGCGTGACAGGCTCAATGTTGAATAAGTACGTTATTTACAGCCAGCCATGACATTCTCAGCCACATGCATAACTACTTATTTACCTTCAAACCATAAAACCCTCCAAGCAAGAACTATCTACAAAATAGGTGATCAAGAATCCTATCCCCTACCACAGCCGGGAGCCCTGACTAGCACTCCAATTCCGGCCCGGCAAATAATTTACCTACCTCGACTAGACAGGTACCTAGCTAGTGAAAGGCCCAGCCCATCAACTAATCAATCAATCAGACTAAAAGAGTGGAGAATCTCCTTCCTCGCAACTCCACCAGTTTTCTCTTTCTCCTGCTCCAACCACAACCGTGGCGTGACGTGGCGTCGGCATGGGTCCCTCCCCCCTTCTCTCAGTTCAGTTCCCCTTGGTCTAGCCTGGACATGAAATCCATGAAATTTTGCCTGTGGCAGCGTGGCGACTATTCCTGATTGGGCGTTAGGTTCGGCGTTAACGAAACACACCCGGTTGTTGGTTCCATGGTTTACCGGGCCCGTACGGATGTAAATATACCCCCCGGTAATGGGTTACGTGTGTGTGTAAGTTGTGTCTATCTTTATCTCTAGTAGTCAGAGTAATTAGTGGTGTTATTTGAAGGGTTCAAGGGAGGATCTAATTAGGTATCTAGTGGCGGCTGCTTTTATTAGCTAGCTGGAGCGGTGGTTCACACAGTGCTGTGATTTGTGCTAGTTGGGATGTGAGGACTGGCGTGGATTAGACTATATGGGGTTGGGGGAGGCACTACGTGGAGGGGGTACGTATGTTCTCTCTCCGCAAGTTGGTAGGTAGTACTAGTCTACGCCGTAGCTGTGAGCTGAGGACAAAGTAGATGGGTGTTCAACTCTTTGCTTTGCTTGTTATACCTTTCATGGCGCCAATTCTTTTGGTTGCTGTTGTGGTGTGATATTCATTAATTTCATTATTGTGTTTTGGATTCATTGGAGCACTTGAATGCGGTGCTGCTGCTATACAGAAGGGGCAATGTTGCTGTAGACGAAAGGCTCTATTCATAGAGAGATAAAATGAGGATGGTCAGGAGGTCATGTCTACGTAGTACTTCAACGTGTTCAGGAAATAAGTGCCCGAACTAAGCATTAGGATAGACAATACTCCTACTTACGAGGCAGGTGCCAAATGCGCCACAAAGATCGCCTATCTTTGCGCAACGTGATGACGATTTAGAGTTGTGCAAATTGACAACTGTGGTTATCTTGCTATCACTATACTATACCTTGGAACACATCTCTCTCTGACAAACCGAATCATTATCTGTCATATGTCGGTATGGACCAACACACACTGCTGCCTCTGTATGCCATGCCAACTGTGCCTCTGCGTCTGAGGTATGGAGATTTCAATCCTGCTGCTGCTGCACGACTGCAATAAACATGAACAGCCAGTGCCAGATTGGGGTGGGGATCTTTATCCTGTCCCCGCTCCGATCAACCAATGGCGGTTTGTAGCCACTACATTTCCAGAACTCCGGCTCTCCATGGCTAATCCACATTGGGTGTCATCGTACGTTGGCCGGGCTTGGCATGACTCCACCGACGAAACGAGGAAATCGGGTGTAACGAACTGTGGCCAGCCTGAAGCATAAAGCAGGATTGCCAAACGTTATCTCCGGCGGTTTGCGGGCAAAAAAAGCAGACCAGAGGGGGAAAAAAGAGGATTCAAACAGAAGGAGAGGAAGAAAGTCGAGAGCGTCCTGTGGTCCTTGTTTCGCCGCTTTCGTCTCCTCTACTATCACTCTCTCTCCCTCTCGCCCTCTCTTCCTCCCTTTATATCATCAACCGCTGATCCCTTCCCCTACTCTCCCCCGATCTTCCCCCATTCTTTCATCCCTGTATACATACTTCGGTACATACCTTGACACCCCGATCAGGTGGCCCTGCATTGACTGTGGGATTTTCTCGCCATCTGAATCTGTTTTTCATCTTTCATCGACATTCCTTTTTCTCTGTTTCCCTCTCGCTCATTCGATCTTCCTATCAACTTCCGAGCTCACTCCGAGCAAGTGATGTAAAGAATCCATGGTGGCCTTCACTCATATCGCCGGGGGATCGGCTCCGTCCTCCATAGTCGCCTGTGTGGCGCTATTATTATTCGCATGCCTTCACACTGTCGTCGCAGAGATCGATTCGGTCTTCAAATCTGTGAGTTGCGCCCGCTTTAGCGTCATCGCAGCTGCTTGCACGCAATAGTAGCCAAGATGTTCGCCACCCGGATCGCTAACCTTGTCTCGACGTCCACCTGCAGCGACCCGATCTCTATCCTCCAGTCCTTACTTTGGAACATAGAGTTCCCGACAAGCTAAGCCCGGGTTACATCTTTGTCGGCCCGTACGAAGCGTCCAATTCCGGCCCGTATATTTATGATGATGAGGGGGTATGCTTTTGATATTTCCGCCCGAGTGTATGGTATGGTGTTGACCATTTTATAGAACCTAGTCTGGAGCGGCTGGGGTAACTCGGGCCCCGGAAATGCCCACGGCATGCACGTTTGCAAATACAAGGGAAAGGATCACTTGTGTTTCTTTCAGGGTGTTCAACAGAACGGGTATTGTCGAGGTCATGGAGTCATCATGGATGACCACTATCGCATCGTCCGAACCGTGGTTCCCGGAGGCGGCATGGCATCCAGCGATATGCACGAATTCATGCCTATCAATGACGGCAAGACTGCCTTGATGACGGTCTACCAGCAGCGACAGTTCGACATGTCCCCGTGGAATGTGAAATCCGGCATGGGATGGGTGATGGAGAGTATCTTCCAGGAGGTAGACGTGGAGACCAACGAAGTTCTGTTCGAGTGGAAGTCCCTCGACCACGTCGACCCTTCGGATGCCTACACCTGGCCGAGTCACACGGATACTTCGGGCACTGGGCTGGACCCGCGCTCGCCCTGGGATTACTTCCATATCAACTCAATCGACAAGAACGCTGACGGCGATTATTTGATCTCTTCGCGCCACACGTGCGCGATCTACAAGATCTCCGGCAAGGATGGATCTATCATCTGGCGGTTGCATGGAGCGCATCCCACGTTCAAGAACATCAACTTCAGTTTCTCGCAACAGCACGATGCGCGGTGGCTTGGTGAAAACTCCACCCACACGCTGCTGTCTCTGTATAACAACGGGTTCAATGGTTTCAACCGCACCCACGACTTCTCCTCGGGCATGATTATCTTGATCGATCACCAAGATAACACCGCCACTCAGCTGCACGACTACTCTCCTCCCGGGAAGACCATGATCAGCTCCAGCCAGGGTAACATGCAAGTCCTTCCGAACAAGAACGTATTCATTGGGTGGGGTAACAACGCCTATGTTTCGGAACATGACGAAGAAGGCAACGTGCTGCTCTGGGGCTACATCGACAAGGATCGCATCATGAACTACCGGGCGCAAAAGTTCGAATGGGATGGAATGCCTACCGACGTGCCGGCTCTCTGGACGTACTCGCAATCTACAGACACTTTCTCTCCGACGACGTTCTACGTCAGCTGGAACGGGGCTACGCGTGTGAAGTACTGGCGGTTCTACGGCGCGACCAACTCGACTGGCCCGTATATGCTCATCAAGCAGACCGAAAAGAGAGGATTCGAGACGAGCTACTCGGCACCGCACTTCTACCGCTGGACCTACGCGGAGGCGGTAGATGTGGAGGGCAAGGTTCTGGGCAAGTCGCGCAGCATGTTCACCTTCACGCCGTCGCCCGATCTCCAGGGCTATTGTGGCCGGGAGTCATGTGAGAATGCGCAGACGTATGGAATGCCTGGCGAGGAGGGCGCTGGACCTGCGATTCCCCCGGCTGGAATCAACACCGTTCCTTGGGTCGATCCTGATCACCCTAATGCACACTTCGATTGGGGTCAGACCGGTGATGATGAGGATGAGGATGAGAGCGGGTCCGGCAATTTGAAGAGTGTTTATGGTAAGCAGGCTCCAGCTGACGGCAGGAAGAATAACCCCGCTGACTATCGTAATTTAGATAACAACGTGGGATGGATCGCCCCCGTCTTCGGCTTTGTCGTGGCCATCGTGGCCATCTATACGATCATGCGGATATACCGGCGCCAACAGCAATTTAGCCGGGTGAAGGAGAGGGCATCGACAGAGAGTGTCGATAGGATCGAGAGGTCCAAGCCCTGGACGGAATCGGAGGAGACGCCGTGGTGGCATTGGCGACGCTGGACGAAGTCACAGGAGCCACCGCGGTATTTTCCGTTGGCAGAACAACGGAGTCCATCCTGGCGAGCAGAAGGACATTATGTGCGATAGATAGATGCACATTATAATAAGTGTGATTATTGATGTGGTTATAAATGAATATAAAGATAAATATTAAACTTGTATAAACAAAAAGTCTTCCCGTTTTCCAATTCAAACATACGATCCATCTCCTTGAACCTTGGAACCATACCATACAGCGGCTAATACACGGGACGGTCATCGGCTGACAGTACATACATACATAGCAAAGCCGAGCAAAGCGGCAACGAGCCATAGAAATGCATGACGCCGACAACGAGTACAAAGTTAACTAGTAGCTTACTACGTAGTTTTTAGCTGACAGGAAAGAAAAACTGACTCGTGCGGACGCAGCCCCGAACCAACAACCGAAACTGCATGTCACTTTCCGTCACTTGCTACTACTTTTATCTACGCATCGAATTGCGTACGTCTGACCTGAAGGCTTTGATCTCTGACGTCTGACGCAGCCTGCATAACTTCGTTTAGACAGACGAAAAAAAGTTTTCACCTGCCCCATGCACATCAACTAGCGGAGAGGTCGGAATTGATGCTACGTAGTCAACTTTCTAAAAGACGCATGAATTGGGGGGGTTTTTGTTTCAAGGGAACGGGAAGGGAAAAGATTTCGGGTCGTCTGGATGAGACGCTGGTGAGGGTCTGTTTAGCCGGGGAAAGAGATAAGTAGAAGTATCATCCTAGTCCTATCTAGTTACTACGTATGTAGAAAGAGGAAGAGAGAGAGTGGGTATCGATTGTGTCGAAACTCGAAACAAAAGTGCCAAAAAAGAAAAGAGGAAAATTCAACGGGGGGAGATAGAATGAATGCCAAGACGCCAAAAGGCCGGACGAGGAAGGAACGGACGAGTTGAGGTGGAGAACCGACGAAAGAGTCGTCGCAAGCTCGGGGATTCGTTGCCGATCCGAATGAAGAATAAAAAAGAATTTAAGAAAAGAAAAAAAGTTTTTTTTTTCCTTTTTTATTTTAATCATTTTTTTTAATTTATTCGGCTTATTTTAGTTTCACGAGTCATTTCCTCTTTGGGCGTATACTTCATTAATTTCCATTCAGTAACAATCAGTTGTTCAGTACATCCAGTAAGTTGTAATTCCCAGTTCTTACTGAGTACGGCAGTTCTCCTGATGGTCGTCTCTGTCTAGTCTTCCACTCTCTCTCTCTCTCTTCACGATCTTCCCTTTCCATTCCTTTCTTCTTCTCTCTTTCTCTCCCTCTCTCTTACTTCCTACTCTCAGTCTCTCATTCTCGCTTCTTCTCTTTTCGTGGATCCCGATCTGACCTGACCTAAACCAAACCATCAAGCCCCGGTCCGGCCCCTCCCTTCCTTCTTGTTCTTCTCCAGTACCGTGGGCTGCCCTATCATCATTCGCCGCCCCCCCCAAAAGGTAACTCTCCAATGCCTGCGCCAAAATCCGGCTCTCAAGGAACCGCCGGGCGTCCGTCGCTACCCTCTTTATCGCTCTCCTCCACCACCCCTTCCTCGGCCATCTCTACTCCAGCGGCCACTCCCAACCCCCTCTCGGCCACCTCCTCCTCCTTCGCCCAAGCCTCTAAGAGCCGGAATGCTCGTCATACCCGAGCCACTTCCTGGACATCCGGTCACGATCAAGGCGGCGAACCCGACCCCGCGGACTTTACCTCTTCTCAACAACGTCGTCGCCGAGAATCCAACATCTCGTTAGCTGACGTCTCTGAGGGCTCTTCCGGCCGCTACGACGACGATTACGACGATAATCGCTCTCACACCAACATGGCCGTGAGGAACACTTCCTTCGACTGGGGTCCTGGACACGCTCGCAGTCGCTCTCATTCCTACAGCCAGCCACAGATGTCTCTCCTACAACCTCAAGAACTGGCCGACTCGTCGGCTCCTCGGCCTCGTCCAGCACCCGTTACATGGATGTCCCTTCCGCGCAAAGGGCAGTTGGCCCTGTTGGGTCTCTGTCGTGTCTTCGACTTCCTCCAGATTGCCTCCCTGCAAGCATACATGTTCTACCAACTGAAATCCTTCGATGAGAACCTCTCCGACGCCGATGTCTCCACGCAGGCCGGTATCCTCCAGGGTGCCTTTACCGCCGCGCAATTTGCAACAGCTATCCCTTGGGGCCGTGTCGCCGATGCAGAATGGGGTGGTCGCAAGTTTGTCTTGCTGGTTGGTCTTATTGGTACCGCGTTGTCCTGTCTGGGTGTTGCCTTTTCGACGTCGTTCGCGCAGGCCGTGTTCTGGCGTTCTTTTGGCGGTGCCATCAACGGGACGGTTGGTATTATTCGGACCATGATCGCGGAGAATGTCAAGGAGAAGAAATACCACTCGCGCGCGTTCCTGATTCTGCCTATCGGGTTCAACGTCGCCGCGTTGTTCGGACCTGGTAGGTACCCTGCTGTGATGTTTGTGGCTACAGCTAATTTCTTTTAGTGATGGGTGGTATGCTGGCTGATCCGGTCAAGGCGTATCCTCGACTCTTCGGTCCTGATTCTTCTTTCGGCGGCGCCGACGGTGTGCAGTGGCTCGTTCGCTACCCGTATGCGCTGCCCATGCTGGCGAATTGCATTTTCCTGACATTTGCTGCGGTCTGTGTCGCCATCGGTCTTGAAGAGGTATGTTTTCTGTTGAAATCTGCTATGCGCACTGCTAACTGACTGCACAGACTCTGGAAGCTTGCAAGGGCAAGCCCGGTCTGGGCGTGTTCTCGATGCGCATCTTCGCTCGCGGCATCCGGGCCGTCGTTCCTTCGAACTCTCCGCTGTACCAGAGACTGCCATTCGCGGACTACGACGAGGCTGGTCCTCTGCTGAACCGCAGAGACCCGGCCGAGAGCTACGAGATGGAAGAGAAGGCGACCAAGGCAAGCCGTCAGGCTCGCACTTTGCCTTTCCGCCGGATCTGGACCAAGAACGTGCTGTGCACGCTGTTGGCGCAGGCCTTCTTCGACTTTCAGATGGGTGCTTTCAACAATCTCTGGTTGCTTTTCCTCTCTACCCCGCGTTATGATGCCAACGACCCTGCCAGTCCGGTCCAGAGACTGCCCTTTATCTTCACTGGCGGTCTGGGCATGCTGCCACAAAGTGTTGGTTTCGCTACTGCCATTCTCGGTGTGATTGGCATGCTTCTCCAGTTCACCATTTACCCCAGCATCAACAACCGTTTGGGCACGGCCAAGAGTTACCAGTACTTCTTGACCCTCTTCCCTCTGGCGTACGCATTCGCGCCATACATTGCTCTTGCTCCGTCGTCCGCACCCCCGCCGGGCCAGGCCAACGGCGGATGGGTGTGGTTCTCCATCATTGTGGTCTTGTTCCTGCAAGTGACGGCACGAACCTTCACTCTTCCCACCTCCATCATTCTCCTGAACAACTGCTCTCCGCACCCGTCGGTGCTCGGCACCATCCACGGCATCGGCCAGTCCGTGTCCTCGGCGTTCCGTACCATTGGACCGATCTTTTCCGGATCGTGGTACGGCTACGGTCTGGAGATGGGCATGGTCGGATTCGCCTGGTGGCTGATTGCATTGGTGTCGGTGTTTGGCTGCGTGGCAGCCATCTTTGTCTACGAAGGTTCCGGACATGAAGTCTTCCTCCCCGGTGAGGAAGAAGAGCGGGACTAAGTCTTGCTTGTTTTATTTTTCTCATATCACTGCACAGGCGTTAAGAGTTGCTTCTTGTACATATATATAATGGACCCATTGCATAGCGGTGTCCGGTCGTGTGCTTTGGATTTTGATCTGGTTTGGGATGGTTCAGCGGTTGCTGTTGATATATTATACCTGTTGTTACATTATGCATTGGATGATGAAAGAGAGAACAGAGAGGATAGATAGATGGATGCATGCATGCATCTAATAGAAGTTTTGCTCGTGCTTATCATCATAACATCGTAACTGATAATGTAGTGAGTGTAGAGGGAATGTGCATGTCACCGTCTCAACGCCGCAAACCGTCTCGTCAACTCATCCAACTCGGGTATATCACTCTTCGCCGGCTTCGACTGCCTTGCCTCTTTAGACACATCCTCCTCCCCAGGCACCTTGACCTTGGGATGTAAATTATCCACCCTCGGCCCCGGCGGCGCCACACTCACCGGGCTCTTTCCCTCGGAATATAGCCCCCGCGGCGGCGTCGCCTTATTCAACTCCATTGTCTCGGATGCCCGTCGCACGTCATTCTCACTATCACCAGACTGACCAATCTTCCTCGGCGTAGACGGCAGCTTCACATCCCCACCACCATCACCATCACCATCATTCCTATCCTCATCCTCCACAAAACTCGGCACATCCCCCTCCGGCGAAGCAACAAACCCATCCGGCCAAGTCACCCCATACGCCCTCGCAATCTCGACAAGATAACTCTCCACCAACTCCTCCGAAGGCGGCTTCACCCTCAACCCCCTCACCAACCGTTCCGGAACCTTCACCTCCTCCAGCTTATTCTCCTGCGCCAGCATCATGAAATCCTTCCCCCATCGATCGCTAAGTAATCCCCGCAGGATCGTCATTTCCCGAATATCGTGCGGGAACCGCGCATACGAGTAGAATATCACTGCCGCGGCTTCGTCGAGCGCCGGGTCGATGTAGCCTTCTTTTTCCACTGCGCCGCCTGCTTCTTCCCCACCACCGCTTTCAGCTCTTGCTTGTTCTGCTGCTGGTGATGTACCAGTGGTTTGTTGTTGCTGTTGTTGTTGTTTCCGCCCAAACCCCCAAAACGAGAACCCTGAGCTTTTCCCCTCTGTGCCTTTAGATGACGAAGTAGAAGATGAAGAAGAAAGATGGCGTTGCGCTTCCCCTCGCGCTCTACTCCGCGCGCGCGCGCCCTTCTCCCCAAAGGCAGATTGATCGAGGAGATTCGCCCGCGCGAGAAGTAGTTCGCAGTAGAGCTCGACCATCTCCATTACTTCGACGGCGGTGTCGGTCGCGATTACATTCTCGACGCGGATGCGGGCGCTCGTGGAGCGGTTCTCGGCTAGCAGGGTGGAGAGGTCGCGCCGTTGGACGACGGAGCTGGCGGTATCTTTTTTTTGCAGTAGGCGGAGGCGTGGGATTAGGAGGTGGAGGGTGCTGGTTAACTTTGCCTGGATTGGTTTGTTAGATTGATTGGAGGGGGAGGGAAAAGTTGGGGTGGTTGGAGGGGTGGAGGGGTGCGGGGGAAGGGAGATGAGGATGGTAGTGGGATTGAAGGGAGGTGGATGGGATGGAAGGGGATGGAGAGAGGGGAGGAGGGCGTACTGTTTGTGGTGAGGGAGGCATTTTGGTGGTGGTGGTTGTTGTGGGTGTGGTGGTGAGTGTGAGTGTAGAGAATAGAGGGAGGTGGTGAGGAGATGACGATGATGTTAGGCAGTGCAGGTGGAGGTGGAGGTGGGCCGATTGGCTTGCTTCCCGCTTTGACATTGACACAGGCTACTAACTCCGTACACCTTCTCTTTCTACTTTATCCAGTTCATCACTACTCTACTTCGCTGGTGGGTATTGGGTTGCTCCTTTGGAATACTCTGGACATTCTTCTTAATTGCACTGCTACTCATTCAAATAGAGATGGAATCTGACTGTTCAATTGGAGTTCGTACTAGTGAATGCGGGCTGTTCTATCCTCTACCCTATGATCATGCTAAGTGGCACTTGGCACTATGATTACAGATTAATGACTATATTAACAGTAAACATTATCAATAAATGCTCATTAATCAAGCATGTACAAGAACGTCAATCATAAGGGTATAAAGTATAGTGTGAAAAAGGTGCCCATCAGAAGTGAACCAAGAAAAATGATGGTGAGTATGCAACCAACCATTGATGGTTTGTTAGTAGTCAACATGGTCTCAGTCTAGACCATTACAATCGCTCCAAGGACCGCCACAATCAGACTGAGCTTGGACACAGCACTGCCAACAGCAGCACCATCTGTCACAGCTGCCGACTGTGTTGCTTGAGCAGTTCCAGATGACTGGCTGGAACCACTGCCAACAGCAGCAGCAGCGACAGGATTCGCATGCGAGGAGCCTGTCTCCACCATGGCGTGTGGCTTGTACGTGTAGCTAGCCGATACGGTCCAGTTCAATGCTGCGCTGGAGCTGACCTTCCAGCTGGATGAGGGCGTCCAGCTGGGGGTAGGCCGGGAGGTGATGCTGCTGGAGCTGGTGGTGCTGATGGTGGAGCTGGAGCTGAGCGTGGAGCTGGAGCTGAGCGTGGAGCTGGAGGTAGTAGTGCTGGACGGGGTCGGGGTCGGGGTGCTGCTGGTAGTGCTGGAGCTGGTGCTGATAACCGTCGACGTGCTGCTGGTAGTAGGGACGATACTGCTGGTCGAGGTGGAGCTGGAGCTGGCGCTGCTGCTGCTGCTGACGACGACGCTGCTAACACTGCTGCTAGACACCGGCACGCTGGCCGAGTCACCTCCCTTGTCGAAGACAACGACATTGGCCTTGCCGCCCTTGGGCACCGTCACCACACAGAAGGTGGCACCGCCTGCACCCACCGAGCTGTCGCCAGTCATCTCGTTCACACCATTGACGGACGGGTCGATCTTGCAGGGCAGTCCATTGCAGCCGCCGCCCTCGCACTCGATCTCGACACCAAATTCAGGGACTTCGTTGCGGAACGGGGTGGTCGGTTCCAGGTAAATCGGATTCCATCCGAGCTTCACATAGGTGTTGCCGTCGCCGTCGGTGTTGGCACCGGCAACATACGGGGACCAGTTGCCGTAGGGGTTAGCGGAGGTACCCCAGACACAGGCCGTCTCGGTGTTGTATCCCGGAGGATTGATATAGAAGCTATACTGTCAGTATAATGATCTCTTACAAGTAAAAGTAATGGAAAACCTACTGCGCCGCAGTCTCACACCAGTAACTCAGATCCGGAACAGCCAGGGTAGCCAATTCCTCAACAAGCGTGGGAATCAACATGGCCTCATTGCCAGGAAGAACCGTCTGGCAGAAAGACACCTGCTCCTTGCACTTGTTCTTCGCGCTGACGACGCCGGTGCCGTCCTTGCAGTAGGGACGGTCCGGGAAGGGCTTCTGAATCTCGCCGTTCTCGTCGCAGTACAGTCCACCATTCTACTCTTGTCAGTCACGCCCAACAAAGGTTTACTCTCAGGCAACTTACCATGGACATGGGGTAGGTGTACGAAGTAGCCTCCGGGTCCCATTGCATAGAGACCTGGCCAGCCGGACAAGCATACGGGCAGTATCCGCCAGGCTTGCACTCCTGGTCAGGGCTCATAGCCCATCCACCATTGACCTCGTAGGGAGTGATAGGGATCAAGCCAGCCCCGGAGGGGAACTGGCACGAGGAGCTCTTCTTCACCACGGGGGCATCCACCGAGCGATGGCTGCGGTGGTGGCCATGGTCATGGGCGTGCTTGGCTGCTTGGACAGCAGTCATGGCTAGGAAAGCCACCGTTGCGCTAGTGGCCTTCATTGTTGTATGAGATGTGTATATGTATGTATGTTGTATGTATATGTAACCAAAGGTGGAGAGATGTGATATGTATGGGTCAGTTTTGTGAGATATATAGCGGCAGACAAATAGGCAGGTAAGTATAGAGAATAATTGAATATGACACCACGACAGACCACGCGAAACGAAAGACTAGGGTCAGTAAAGACAAGAACGAGAGACTGGACCGAAGCAAAGAAAGAGAAGGAAAAGAGGAAGAGAAAGAGAGAGACAAGAGCCGGCAGACCCAGAAGAAAAGAGAAACGAGGAACCCACTGCCACCACCATCAAACTACTAGAGAAAGACTACTACGACTAGTAGCCTGAAAGTGATGCTCTCCCCGGGTTACCCAAACAGGATAGCCCTAAAGCTTCGATCCCAATTAGGCATGACCCGCTCAGGGGTTCACGCCAATCAGCGGCCTTTGCGCCGCGGCAGTTCATGGAATACCCCCCGTATATTACTTCTTTGGGAATAGTGGAATAGTGTAGGTTACCGTACGGTTCCTGATGGATGGATAAGGGGTCCGTGGACCCTAAGACATTCATCCATACTTGGTGGTAGAACTCACAAAAGGGGAGTAAAGAAAGAGAGAGAGAGAGCGTAGCTGTGAACAACGATATATCTGTTGAGTTTAACCAACTCAATCCTTAATTATTGCCATCTGTCAACGCAACTCAACTCTACCAGAATATGACACGGGACAAACTCACAACCACTCCCTTCCTCTCCCAGACAAGACATCACGATCAACATCCGTCCAGACCGGATCAGCATCCTATTCCAGTATAAGTCACAAAGTAGTGCTCGAGTCCATTCGAGTCAGTGCCTCTCTGCCTCTGGGCTAGTCTCAGTCACTGACCGGCACGGACTTTGGCAGTTGAAAAAAAAAAAAAAGGGGGCGAGAAAGCAAGCCAATCGTACAGGCTCATAGGCGGGAGCTATGGTGCTAGCTTGGGCAATAGTCTATGTTTAGTCTCTGTCTCGCTTGCTCAAGGGCTCGTATCTATGGTCATGTTTGATTGCACCAATGGCTTGATTGCTGGGCAAATACCTGTTTGCCCTGTTAAGTACTTGAACAATTAGGCAATAATTGACAATAATAATATTATAATACTGGTATATACAGGGGTCTTGGGGTGGTTTGCATGCACGTTGCAAGCTTGGGCTGCCATGCACTTCACTCCACTGCATAGTACTTAGTCTACTCTCTCCTCTTTCTCGCCCCTTGGCCTGTGCGCTCAACGTGCATTTTCATTCAAATATAATCTATTATATGATAGTCTGGGGAACTACTTGGGAGCAATAAATAAACTAGCTAGCTAGCTAACATGTATGACGCACACACTACTCCCTAACTACACAGTAATACTTCATGCTTCTTACTGTACTCCTACGCCTACTCCTCCTGCCCTTCCATCTCCCTCCATCCCTCAAACACTCCACCCGGGGTGTCCCTCCACCCCCAAGCAACACAATAATGTTTTGCCAGTAGCCTCCATTCCTCCATCTCATCCAACATCTCCAACCCTGCCACCCGCTCCTTCTCCCGCTCATTCACCCATCTCTCCCAGATGAAATCCACATCCGCCGCCGCCTGGCCAGCGTCCAGTCCCAGCTCCCGTAACCTCCGTCGCTGCGCCTCTAGCGACGCATACTCTTGCAATGTCTGCAGCTGAATCCCCCTCGTGGCTAAATTTGCCACCATTGTGCGCCCGAATGCATCGTCGGGCCGGATGGGCTCATACAGAACCAACCCTACCGGCGTGGTCGCCGGGAAGATGGTTTCTGTGAAGTGGCGGACTACCGAGCTGGCTTCGCCGGGGGTGAGGTATACGAGACAACACTCGGACAGGAGGAGGGTGGGGAGAGTAGGATCGAGGCCTGGGAGGGCGGGTGAGGTGGGTAGGCTGCGGAGATCGAGGGGGTGAAGGTGGTAGGAGGGCGAGTGGAGGGCGTCGTTGGTTGGAGAGATTTCGACGTCGCCGCTGCTACTGCTGAGGATGCGTTGGAGGAGAGGTGCGGCGCGGATGAGTTTGATTTTGGCGGAAGTGTTGACAGAAAAGTCGATCTCGTGGTAGACTAGATTTGATGCGTCGTAGGTAGGGGAGGAGAGGAGACGAAAGATGCGCGTGTCGGTGCCGGCGCCCAGGGAGATGATTTGTTTCTTGGGGTAAGAGGGATGGGCGCTCAGAAAGCGGGTGACGAGGTGATCGATGGTGGTGGTGCGAACGTAGGTACCTATGATGGTTAGAAATTAAAAGTTTGGAGTCTATGGACGATAAAGTACCTCTGTTGATGATGGGAAGTCGGCGAACTTCCATGCCCGGAGGCGTCAATGCAGGTGCGAAGACATCATCAAGATAGCCCAGATTCACGGCACTGAGGCGGGAGACGCTGGCGTCATTATCGGTGCCCTGCACCACACGATCTTTGGCGCCATGAGACCCGTGGCCTGCATCACCGGGCTGGCCACCTCCACGACTTCGAAATCGGCCGCGACCACCACCGCGGCGCAGAGTGTTCAGGTTGGGGATGTGCGAGGCGGACATTGACGAGGAGGAGATGGAGAAGCTCAAGTTGGAGCTCCGCGGCGGAAAGTTGGTTGTGCCCCGCGGTGCCGCCCCCCCACAGTTTTCTACTTCTACTCCATACAACATTGTACGGTGATCACCTCTGGAGCTTCGTATCCACCATGAAACATCTATCTAACATATAATGCTGTATGTATAAATTGGCTGGCTTGCTTGTAGCATCAGTCGGATCTTAGCAAAAAACTGCGTAATCTATCGACGGAGATGGCAGGTGTGGCAGTGTCATCATCATGGATGGATCCGAATATCCGAAAACTGCTCTCTACCAACGTTCCTCACATTCAGACGCTATGGCTTTGCCTGGATCCACCTACCATAATGGTATTATTATATCATGTATACTTCATTAAGATCATTTCTTTCTGTGTATGGACTTATGATTTGGTGACTGCCTTCACCACAAGGTATTCTCCATCTGTACTATATAGTATTACGCTCATTGAAACTAATCACTCCATCAGATTGAGGGAAGAGACTTCCGATCCTGAGCCTTCAAACACCACTACTAGTAGAGGATTACCAGATAATTGGAACCATGAAGATTGTTCCCATTATCTTCCTTGCCATCTCGACAGGGGCCTTTGTTCTGCCCCAGAATATGTTCCAGCCATTCCAGCCTTCATTCGATAGTATCAATAACGAGATCGACCAACCCACTACTACAACTCTACCAATCACCTACCGCAAATGCTACAAGTTAACACACATCGACCGCGGCGAGATCAAACGTTTCATCCCTCACGGCGGTCACGGCGGATTCTTCTGGGAACCACTCTTATTCGACGAAGACACCCCTCCAAGAACATTCCAAGTATGCGGAGACTACAAATCCGGTTGCCCATCCCCCGAGGGCAACGTAACCGATGGCGGGTCTTTCTATCTCAACTGGCTTTCCAAAGAATGGGGTCCACTTGTGCTTAAGGCGAATCGAGATAAGTCTTGGTATCTCTGGCCTAATGAGAACAGCGAAAATAAAGATCCGCTGGTCCCGTTCAAGTTCCAGGCTGTAAAGGATGACGGTGACAAGAAAGGGTTTCTGCGTATTCGCGGTAACAATACGCATGGGTTCAATGGACTTGTTATTGTTAAGGAATACAATCAGAATGCCCTTTGGAATACGAAGGGGGATGGGTCTATGAAGTTTAGGTTTGATGAGGTTGAATGTAAGGGTGATGAGACTCAGCATTTGGATGGTGAGGAGCATGGGGAGTTGTAATTTTACTATTTTTTTGAAATGCAGTCAAGGACATGGATCCCACATGTACTGATAGTCATCGAATAATATGGCATCATTGTAAGACTCCTACTATGTTAACTATGTACACCTCTACCACTTCCACACTCTCATACATAAACAAAATTGTTCCGGCACAGCGGGCACGTGCTCTGGTTGCTGCTCTTGAACCACCGGAACAGACACACCGAGTGGAAAGTGTTCTTGCACGTGGCGCACCGCTTGTTCGGTGTCTGCATGTCCGTCGAGATGACCGAGTAGCAGATCGCGCACTCGCTCTGCCCCTTGAGCGCTCCCTGCACGTTCTTCCGGAACGCCAGCAGTCCATCCACCAGGTTGCCGTTGGCAAACATGATCACGCCTTGGATGGTCAGCAACCAGCTGCGCCACTTCTTCTCGTCCACGAGCACACGGCTTCGACTCACAACCAACGCTGGTTGCAGTGGATAAGCCGGAGGAAGGGACAAAGACAATGCCACTGGTGGCGACTCTTCATCCACCGGGATGCTGGCAATGATCTCCGCCGTCTTGGGCGAGATCTTCACGTTCAGCGCCCGCTCTTCGTTCGGATCCTGGGTGGCTGTCCATTCAGTGACTCCCCGTAGCGAGTCCTCGATAACCAAAGGTGAGATCTAATGCAGTGTTAGTTTACAATAGGCAAGCTGGCTGTCCAGGCAGCTTACGAATTTCTCGGTCCAGGATTCCACCGGCCCCTTGATGCGCTTCTTCGTATCGAGCCACCAGCTCTTAGTCATGTTGGCCAGGTGCCTCAAGCACAAGAAATACAAGTGCACGAGAAGCCATTGAATCTCCTTCTCAGCGCTCTCGGACTGATCGAGCTCGAAGGAGCGGATGTCAAACTTGGATGCATCCACCATCTTTCCGCCCGATCGCTGGAGGAAATCGAACATGAACTCCAAAAGTGGGCTGAGACTTTCGTTGTCCTTGATACTAGCCACGTAGTTCTCTTGGACAGTGAGAGACTGTGACGGTCAGCAAACCATATTCCTATAGCAAGACACCAATACATACCGCGTTAACGAAGTGATCGAAAACCACCTTCCAGCTTAGCAGATACGACCGTAGTTCGGCCCACATCCTGTCGTCGCCATAGGCGGCGTTAACCCCTTCCATAGTCGGTGCTTCGAGCAGCAAAGACATGAGCTCGTCAGGCAGTCCGACAGTCGTCTTCGACAGCGCCACGTCAAATGACACTTGTTCTTGCACGCTGGGGATGTACCGATGGAGGACTGTGTAAGCTGCGCGTTGCACCGCAGGGCTCTGCGCTGTGATAAGAGGGAAGAACTTGCTCGCGTCCTCCAGGTGATCAACTGGGATAACGTTGAGGAAGCGACACAACAGATCAACAGCCACATCTCGGGGTTGGTGGAAGGTGGTGGACGAATCTGCCCAGTCAGCATATACCTGATAACCGTGTATCCAACACTTACCGAATTTCTGGAGCGTTGACGCCAAGCTATTGAAGAGTGCATTCTTCCGATCAGACCACGCATCCTTCACATCATCGTTACTCTCCTCGTCGCCTGCGATTGACTGAAGACGAGAAAAGAGTCTGAACGACGATAGCAGAGTAGGGATGGCTTCGTCGCTACCACCAGTCTCTTGCCATGTGGTAATAAGGATATCCATACATTCCTCCCAGTGGGAGCCGTAGATTTCCTGTAGGTTAGGAAGCATCACTACCAGGACTTGGAAAATCTCGGCCTTGATACTCAAAGATGTGCCCTCAGACTGGAGGCATTGAATGAGATGTTTGATAAGGAACACCAAACGCTGTGTGGGAATGGAGGCCGCAACCTCTTCTTCTCCAGATAACAGGAGATTCAAAAGGACCAGCTTGCGAAGACCTAGTCTATATTAGCAGATTAGATTGAGTGGGTAAAGGGGCCTCGACATACCATCTTTGCTCTCATCGGTGGGCTTCAACCCCGTGGAGTCCGCCACAAACTCGTTACATAGTCGTGTGCCGGCAGGGTTGGAGAGTATGGCACTTCGTAGCACGGTCACCCAAGAGGCCGACCGAATGGCGTTCGCCTTTCGCATCTCCCTGCAAAGTTGTGTGACCTCTTCTGATGACCGACTCTTGCTTGACGAATCCACAGCTTCCATAATCTTCACAAACGCCAGCCCAATTTGGTAGTCTAACGGAGAAATGGAATCCAGCTTCTCGACCTGGTTTGTCCAAAATGTAGAAAGCAAAGAACCAACTGACAGTCCTTTACCGGCATTCAGTTTTTGCGACTGAGCCCAGCCATTCACGGCTTTTCGACCATCGCTGACTACTTCCATGTACTCCTCACGCTGCTCGGGGTGTGTGATGCCGGTTATCCCATTGCAGTTTTGGACGCTCAAGTCATCATCAATAAGCTGCACTGTTAGGGGTACATTGTAAAACAGTGTCTCAAGCTCCTCGATCTCCAGATGTTCAACAATATCGAATGAAGAAAGAATCTTGATGGTGTAAAATGCCAACCGGAACGCCGACGAGCAATTATTGGAGTCGCGCGGAATACGTGCGTAGCGTTCCCGGAATGCGTTTGACACACTGCGATTAACGAGATGCACGGTACCGGCGAGCGGGCTGGTGACGGCAGCCGATAGCCGTGGAGGGAGCTCGAGAAAAGGTCCAAGGGAATTCTCCCAAGATTGACGAGACGGCAGTATGTCCTTCGCTACTCTTCCAATGTCAGCGGAAGGGACATTCTGTAGAAGCTCTTCCGCGATGCTCAACATGGACTCGATGCTAGTACCGTTAGCTTCTTTTCTCTCCTCTCGGTGGGTCGCGACTTACGAAAGTGACATTTGATTCACATTGTCGAACTGGTGCTGCAGGATCTCAAAGCTCGATTTGGCGCTTGTCTCACTGACGACGGAATTTTTCACAGTCTTGGACAGCGACTCCGCGAGACTAGCTACTTCTTCGTCCGACGACTCGGTGAGGAACAACAGCTTACCAGACAACTTTGAGCCGTGGCCTCCGCTCTGGAAGTTTCTGACAGCAGTGGGGACCGAGCTGGAGATGCGAGAAAGTCCATGTAGCGTGTCAAATACCTTGCTCTCTTCAGAGAGGGCATCCACAATAGACAGGAAAATTGAGTCCGTCAATTGCCCATGAGAAGTATGGTTCTGTAGCACGGCAACAACAATGGACCAGTGAAGGTCGCTGCCCTTGCAAGCTTGTTCTAGGGCCCGCATGACCAAAGAAACCAGTCCACTCTTGTCGCCTAGCTCCTGGAAATCAAGAGTGGAAAGAAGCTTCTGAACAGCATGTACATTTGAGGACTCAGGATCCGACTGTGCCACACGCTCGACGACCTTCTCGAAGCTAGGTCCGAACCCTTCCCAAGATCGGCAAGACATGATAATGGATACCAATCGATCAGCGGATGGCGATGCCAAGAGCTCAGGCGCATCCTCTTGAACAAAATTCAACAACGACTGCGAGCCTTGCGCGATTTGCGGGACTTTGCGTACTATTTCTTCTACAACCGCAGCCGCTCCATAAGGCTTACCATTCCTGGAGCGCAACACCTCCAGGCAATTATCGAGTAATTTTAGGCCTGTATTCTTGAATACATCCAAAATGCTTGTCTCATGGGCAGTGCCATGCAAACGCGAAAGCAACAAGGCTTCCGAGGCGAACAGACGCTCAGCCTCCACACATACTGCGTCCTGTGAGGGCTTGAAGTCCTTGGACTGCTCCGGTGATGACAGCTTTACAGCCTCGAGTAGGCCATCGGCCAACTTTGTCCACAGCTGCTCGACCACCGCTTTGTAGCCTTTCGCTGTCACTGCGACGAGACAATCCGTGCAGATAGATTCCGCCGACGAAGGGGGAAGAGTCCATTGAAGACGATCTTGTTCAGGCTCGACATATTGCAATATCAACGGAGCAAGCCTGTCCTGCAAGAATTTCTCCCTATCCTCTTCAGAAAGCCGGTGGGCAAGCCACATCGACGTGTCAATGTAGGCCTTCCAACCAACCGCACGATTCTGTCGAGGCTCATCCCTAGAAGTGACTCCTTCCTGGAACGACTCCGTTAGTGCAACCGCACTAGACAGACCAAGAGAATCGGATGTAGATTGCGAGTCAATCTTGGCCAATGTTTCGAAAGGAATCGTCTGAAGTAATTGGCAAAGATTTGGCCAGAAGGAGCTTGTGCCGCTTTGTGAACCTTTTTGTATGTATTGAAGAAGTCTCTTGGAAGGGGATGACTTCCCAGAATAGTCCTCTGTCCATAATTGCGGTCTTGCAGACGTTACTCGCAAAATCGTTTCGGAAAGCTCCGATGCGGAACCAAGTTGGGGACTGTGCAAAGCCTTGCCAATCAAGGCAGCACTGATGAGCTTCCAATCAAGCTCCTCAGGCTCTTTAGACACAGCAGATCGAGTAAGGATGTAGAGCGATTTGCGCACAAAAGGGTCGTCATGATAAGAAAGCGCCCATAGAGATTTGCTGCATAAGAGAGTTTCGATGGTCGGCAAATCCTTCTGCAAATCTTCATGGGTCGAGTGTCCTGCATATGCTTTAGTCAAAAGACGTTAGGAACAATATGGATCTCCGCTTACCTAGAACTCTGTTGAACAGCAAAAGCGCAGTACCAGCTACACGCGCATACTTTGCTTCTGCATCGTCAGGCTTGACCGTTCGCTCATCGCTCAATGTCAGAGCAGTCTGCTGCAGGATGACATCATCCACAAATTCTAGGATAGCGCTCTGGTAAACCTTCCACACGCCGCTTCTCTTCTCGTCAGTCGAGAAGACGCGGGTGAAAGACTCCAAAGCAGACTGATGGACAGGTCTATCATTATCATAGATTCCTGCCAGCCACGCGCCAATCACCTTGGGTAGGAAGCGAGCAATCCGCTTTCCCACCAGACTGGCAATCGACCCTTGAGTAGAATGAGCGGTCTGTCTCACCCTGCGGGACAGATCTATGGAAGCGCGGGGATAGATTTTAATCTGCCGATGTTCCGAACCATGA